TGTTGATCGTGCTATACATATATCTAAACGCTAAACATATGTTTGTCTATACACACATGTATAATGTTATATTGAAAAGTCTATCGTTTTATATGCCTTATTCAAAACACTAATCATCAAGAAGGATATAGAATCTTTCTCACATTCAATTATTTACCATTATCCATCAGAAGCGGTGAGGTGATTGTCGTAATCAATAAACGTCCTACAGTATAATATAAAACTTTTATTACTACTACGTAAACGTAACTGATACGTAAACGAGCGAAGAATTCAATGTACGTTGTACGTATCATAAAAATTTTGGAACAGGACAGTGGCCGGCTGGCGGTTCTTCAGTTATCATGATAACTTATATCAAGGTTCTCTTTTCGCAAGTTGACTCGACGGACTTACATCGTGATAGACATAAATAAGAGCAATTCGTGGACGGTGCGCATACGAAACCACGTATCGATAACATTTTCTTTTCATCCTTTAGTTTTTGGGGACGTATTCGGATTTTTTCAGATCTGATTCTTAACGTATGGAGCCATGAATAATCGAACGGATTCGTATCCTTCATTTATTGATCAAATAATAATGTTACGAGTATAAATTCTAGATGCTGGTGCTCAGCCCGGATATGAATGTATACGGTTGCGCGACGGGTAAAACTTTTCTTAAAGTTTCTACCACTATCAGCCGACCGAGGGCTTTTAAAATTTAAAGAAATAAACACCTATTTATGTGCCTGATTTATACAAATACATTTTCCAAGGCGCATTTAATCTAATGCGTTTTACTTTACGCGACGTAATATGTTCAGTTCATTTGCAATATCCACCTACAGACGCGTATAATACAGATTTTAATTTTAATTAACAATTAATACACTTAACACGGTCTTGTTTTAATTGTTATATAAAGATGTACCTACATCAATAGTAATGATATTTTGACTTTATTATTAGAAACAGAAGATGAAAGATGCTATTCTTCTGTAAAACATTTTTGTTGTCAGTATCGTCCAGATCGTACGTAATATAAATCACCTTGTACAAGGATTGCATCGTCCGACGAGAAAAAAACTAATTTTGACGCCATAGCTGTATGTCATATTGGTCCAACGTGTCACACGGTATCAGCTGTTCTCGAAAAAGTAGTGTCGTTGACTGTGAGGGCCAAAAATTCGGTCGTCATCATCCCTCACGTCTTGTATAACAGTCTTCATATTTTTTATTTAAACAGATAATGGCTATATATCGCGAACATGTAATAAACTCTCGTCATTTCTGCCGAATTGATTAATTAGGACGACGTACAATGTGACCTTATGACACATTATTTACACATTTGGTTTGTCGAGAATTAATATGCAATACACTAACTTCACCTTAATTGTTTTTGGATTTATCAAAGATAATTTAAAATTCACTGTACGCGTTTATCTATTAGAATTTCGCGTACACGCTGGCAGAAAACTTTTCAATAATTACAATAATAATCTTTTGTGAAAGAAAATAAATCATTTGTTGTGACTAAGCAAATTCGTATTTAATAATAACATTATGTAGCTGATTTTTCACGCAGCTAGAAACGTGTTAACAAACAACGAACGGGATACCGGGGCTTTGAAATGACGAATTTTTAACGTTAAATACATTGTTTTAAAAAATGCAATTTTATAAGACAATCATTTTTCTGGTCCGAAAACTTAAGACTTCTGATACGTTCTGAAAAAACAATTCAAAAACGAATCGACTGACAAACGGACGCCACTGCAGTATCGTAAAATAAATCATCTGTTAAAAGATTTTGAATAATATTTTATTAATTTAATGGTGAAACAGTAACCATAATTGCGGCCAAACGAGGGTCTAAAGAAAAGTTTTTTTTTACTCGTTTTGCATAATAATAATAATAATAATAATAATATATTCCACCAACAAGAAACTTATTTAGAATTATTCAAATAAAACTTTAAACTGCACGAATAGTAACACAGCTATAGCGGGCTGTTTAGTTAAAACTTGTGTTTATTATCTGTATTTTGTATTTGTTAGTAAATTACATACATAATATATTCTGTTATTTAATTTTTAATTTCTTTTTTTTCAAGTACTTTATTTAACTACAAACGTTTTCATATTCGGTAAATTATGTTATATAATGATTTAATATAATATTTTGATGTCGACAATCTTTTTTTGTATCTTCAACAAATATGAAATACAATTGCTTTTTATATTCTACCATAATCATTTTTTTTTTTAATCATCAGAATTATAACTTACATTTATTTCCGTATTATAATATAAATTATAATACGATTGAATCAGTCCATATTAAGTAATTAATAATAATGTAATAATCAATAATGTAATATGTTTAAAATGTGAATAATTAATAATAATTAATAATAGTTAGTAATTAGTAATAATTAGTAATTAATAATAATGTAATAATCAATAATGTAATATGTTTAAAATGTGAATAACAATAATAATAAGAAAAAAATCATTCCAATATGAATTTTCTTCTTTTATAAATAGATAAATTTCGACTTAAATTAATAGAGAAAAATTAAATTCCTTATAGTATTGTATTATAAAATCCGAAACACTGTAGAGCTACTACAATGTGTTTTAATAACAAATTAATGAAACTGATTCTCAATGGTTATAATTTTAAAATTAAATTCACCCACTTTCAAATATTGTGAAACATAATAATTCGTTTAAATAAATAATTGAAAACTATAAAATTAAATTTAAATGCTTATAAAAATATTTATGTAAAATATGACGCAACACAAAATTCATTAATGTTTGAAAGTTTTATATCAAATTACTAATACCTAAGTCCTGTTTAGTGGCTCAAACGATTAGTGTTTGTTTATATTTATAAATTTAGAGCATTGTAATTTTAATATAATAAAGTTTTATCTCTATTAGGCTTTTATAATAACTCGTTATTTGTAATTCTATTCTGGCAGCACAGGGTACCCAGTGAAAGTGTCGTAAAATAAAAACTAGGTTAGTTTAATTTTTAGCGGGTCTCTTAAAATATAAATCCCGCAAGACAATATTTAATCTTTAAACTAAGAGAATATATTTTTATACACATTTTATACCCTTAAATCTAACTACTCTCTTCGAAGGATAATAAATCATTTAGCTGTAACTTATTAGTACAATACATTCGATTTGTATTAGAATAAAATCGTTTCAACGAATACGTTCATATTAAAGTGGTCACATAAAAATAATTGACAATAGTAAATTTTTTTTTGTTTTTACAAATGTTAAAACGTGTTGATTTAATTTAATTTTCTTACACCGTATTTTACTCATTCTTCTGAACATAGTTAAGTAAGCATTATTATTCATTCGAAACATTTATTTTAATTCTAACCGCATTTTATTTTTTTAATTATGCATACCCAACATTTGATTATCAACACATGATTATCATATATAGGTTATTTTTATTATACCGGATTTGAATATTAATTGTAATATAACCGATATTGACCGAATTAAATATTTTTTATACCGGCCGTTTTTTGACGAAAACATGCTTACATTTTATTCATTGTAGTGGCTACTACTAGTATGATAATAAATCTGAAAATATATTTTAAATTGTTATGTAGTTTACTAGAGATCTATAATAGTACTAATGATAATTTACCACTCACACAACAAGGCCGATTATCGATTGTGTAAGATTTGCCTATAAAATGTTTCTTAGTATCCAGTGGTGTGGAGGTCCCTTAAACTTAATTCGTGGTGTTTTTTAGATTCATTATATTAATATTTAATGTCCTTTCAAAAGTTCATTTATTTTTT